TTAGTTAGCTGCATTACATGAGAGAAGGTATTTTTGCACATTATCAATCACAAAATATATAATAATATATAGAACTTTCTTATGAGAAAATTATTTTTCAAAATAAATCGATGCCAAAATACAATTGTATTTGAACCCTTTGTATGAGAGAAGGTGTTTTTCAATTGCAAAATATAACTGTATTTAAACTTTTTGAGCAATGCATTTTTAAAATATAATAAAAATATTAGAATTTTTATAGCTAGAAACTCAAACTGATGTTTAAGATTTCATTTAAGATGCAGTTATTATAAAAGGTATAATTAGCCGAACTTTTTATAGCGAGGAAAAGTTATAGTACGGCCTCTTTCTAAGACTCTTCCTACGTCATCGTGTATGATGTAGTTTTACCACTGCCCACATTGGAACGTTAATTACCGAAGGTTTGGCGACTTTGGCACGTTTTGAAAATCTTCAACCTCAAGGAAGTAAATATTTCTCGAAAATGATCACGTCTCTTTATACACATTTTATACACGTAACAAAGAATTAAATCTTAATATTTGATTGCTGTAGCATTATGATTTTGAATCATTCTCTTATCAACTATGGAAATAATGGTCAAATTTATTTCTGGTTCAAGAAGATATTTTGTTATAATTATGAACAATCAAATGGTAAGCCAGTACAAGTATTACGACACTTGTTCAATCAATGTTTCTATATTATACATAAAATTTATTAAAAGTTATCCACGTTCATTAAATGTATTAAAAACACATATGATTATCATGAAATAGAAAGAAGAAGGAGTGAAGATAGGTTGTATGAGATACATACATCATCATCCTACAAAATCACATCCCACAGAAGATTTAAGATACACAAGGGAATCAAAGACCTCATCTGGACACAGAATCAGAAATTGTGGGGAACGGTTAAAAATTATTACCTCAAAAGCGTAACCAGTCTGAAATAAGTATCTATTCCTAGATGAAAGTAATGAGAATAATTAACAAAGCCATACTTGAAGAAAGTATCAGCTTCAGAAGAAAATCTATTACCCACCGACAATTTTAAACCAGATACCTGTCAGGCTGCTAAAACAAGACCATATTTGTTCCACAAATCGGTGGTACTTTTCAAAGATCATAATATTTTAAGTATCGAAGAATTTCTAAACTATTTAAAAGATGAACAGTATATTTGGAGGAAGATATCATTAAAATATTTACTCATTAAACACATGTGATTTATTTTATGTATTAACCAGGAAATTCTAAAAGAAACGTCAAATCATAATGAAAGAATAAAGACAGATACGAACCTGAGGATCTCCTATTTACTCTACTGAAAACTTCATCCGAGCCACTGTAGTTCTACTGGAGATACGAAAATGTTAGAGCTTTATCATTCATATATTAATAATTTTGCATGTTTCTAATTACTTTTAATACAATTTATCAAGCTTTACTAATAGACCAGATATTGCTTAACCATTATTAATTAGACGAATATTAAACATTCAGCGTCGTATTCATCGAATATGGTGTAAGAACGCCACAGAAGCTTAAACTATAGTTGAATGTACCATAAATAATCCTAGTGCGAGAAATCGGCGTGTAATAAGATAGTTTCATGGTGTATAAATATTTAAGAAGGGTTTCCTTTAAAGCCTATTATTACGCTAATACCCTTATAATGAGCAGGCACGTAACCAGAGCGATTCCAAACCAGTCAACTGAAGTTGTTGTCTCTGAATTGAACTGTACAAACTCTACATTCACTGAAGCAAGTTTCCTTTCCTCTTCTCCTCTTCTTATTCCACTTTATCATATTCCCGAACAACATACCCTTTTACATCACAAAAACCTGTTCTCTGATGTAGGCATACGACACTGCGATATTGACCAGATCGAATGTCCAGCTAACGGATACATTATAAAGAGACATCTCACGAATCGAGAGCTCTCATTCTACTTGGGAAATTGCCCAGAACGTTTCGAAGCGACGGTCGTCTTCAATTCCTCTTTCAGCGAAATAATTGAACATAACTTTTTCAAACAAACACTTCTGGTCCTGAGGAGCACAATCACGTTGGTACAACGTTAAATAAAATCTGTAAACGATTACATTACTATTATTATAAATAGTATAAAAATTTACCATGAAGTATTTCTGGTAATTTCGTGCACATGTACATTAATAGACTAAAATGCTTTTGCCCACTTGATAATCAGACATATCCTGACATATGATTGTCCAGTCGTGGTCGTAATGCGGAGACACAACATTAGAATATTAAAATCACAAACGTCGCCTTCGAACAATATAAAAGCAAATAGTGCGTGAGAAAACCGAGATATTCTGAAAATCTGTAACCAACCTTCATCCAAAGAATTTCCTTCACTGATATCAAAGCCGATATTTCATACAACAAGATTAGTTCTTGACCTTGTTGTCAATGCGTCAAGTGTTCAGCTCCAAACCCATACATACACAAGTTAATTAGAGATGAATTTAAAATATTTTGAAGGTTTTAATTTCAAAGAAAAGAAGTAAAGCTTAATTAGTAAATGTTTATAAACAGGGTTATTTCTACTGATTCGCATTTATGTTGTTCAAAAATGAATTAGCTCTTTAAAACATATCTATTACGAACACGTATATCGAGAGCTCAACTATGTTGATGGACATTTTCGTTATCGCACGTTCATTGCCAAGAAAAACTAAAAATGCGTACCCTTGCAATCAGGTTATTAAGGGCACCGACGAGAGTCGAACTCGTGATCTCCTGTTTACTAGACTGGCGCTTAACCAACTGCTTCACGGCGCCTCAGGGTGCAAAACTATAGTATATTTGACTTTTTAACCATTTAAATAGAAAATTCGGAATAGAAGGTCTCTTTAATATTAATTCTGATAGACAAATACAATTTGACACATACACATATTAAAAATATTTCAATCTATTCATTATTATTTTAGTGCCGAAGCATAATTACCTCTAATTATATATTAATATAAATATCAGGATTCGTTTCTTCCCGCATTTGCTGGATCAAATGTTTTTCGTATGCTTTCTTTGTGCGTTTGTGAACTTTATACTGAAATATGTTTAATAAGTGTATTTGGCCAATTCTTATTCTATAGTTAATAAAATTAAAAATCTTCTATTCCTAATTTCTTTAGTTTCATAAATTTTAAAAGTATATTCAAAAATCTATGCTTTTATGTTTCATGACTTAACTCTTTATTTGTTATTTGACTCTAAATCTTACTTTTCATTATATTCATAAGAGAACCTTTTTCTCTAGAATTTGTCTACATGAGGATCGTCAACACTGTTCGTCAACTTTCACCTCACTGTAGAATTCTGATTAAGACATTCCATGCGCCGAATATGAGGGCCTCATGTCGTGAATTACTTTTAGACTTACCACTTGTGGTGCGAAGTGCATATTTCTAGAACCTCCAACTCTTCCAACTCTTTGAGTTCTGAACTCTTGCATGCAGTCTTTATTTCAAAATCAACAATTGCATTTGAAGTGATCGCATCAACTCAAATGGCCAATGTTGATCCTGTTTGTATTTTTTTGAGAGATTTACTATGAACGTGAGAATACTTTGTTTGTTTTGAAATGCTCAAATCTCTGAGCGAACCCATCCTTCATGTTTTTAATCTATGCTGAAGTAATTGTGTCGATAGTTGCATTGGTTCATCGCGATATTGCTTAAGATTTTAAAATGAAGTAATTTTAATTCCTATCATGTCTTCAACAAAAAGTAATTTTTCGAAATAAACAATTTCTTCAAGATTAGGCATATAGAGCAATTTCCTTGCAGTTTTAGGATTTAGTCCTTGATATCCAAGTATCTAATTTTAAGCTAATTTTTGCAGCCATTTAGTTCTTCCAATTCGATGTTTATATTTTTCATTGATGAATGTTTTATTTCCTTCAAGAACATAAAGCAACGTTGCAATGTTACTTTGAAAGCCACTCATATTGCAGAAGTAGGTCAAACTGATATCTATTTCTTCAAGTAAATCTTAAACTGAGGATAGCTGAGTACTTTGCTGATGCTGAATAATCATATCACCACAAGTTACCTAGACACTCCAGTAATTCATAGAAATGTTGGACAAATACATCTTTGATGATATGTGCAGTGAAAAATTGAATTTTGAAGTTTAATTTTTCTGAAGAATTGATGATTACCCCTCTATCATTACTTACTTGGCTCATCAGATGATAGAAACGATTTATTTATATCGATTCCATTGTCTTCATATATTTTGCACAGCATTTGCTAGATCTTTCCGAGTTTGCCATAAGAGGAGCAATCCTAGCAGTGTTTCTTTGTACCTTGGGACGACATATCCTGGCCAAAAGGGTAACTTGTGCCGTGTCTTTTGTCGCAAGACTATCTATAGCATGGATAAGGCACAAACTAGTTGAATGTCTTCTACTTTGTATGTGTTACATTCCAAGACATTTTAATAGTTCTATTTAATTGTTTTACAGATATGGCAAATCTTTGATTTTTCGTGACTTCAGCTTTGTTTTAAAACGGTTGAACAAGTTCTTCAGATGCGTAAACAATTTTAACTTACCTCAGCATCTGTGAATGGTTTTCCCTTTATTCACTTAATGACTCTGCAAAGCTTGCCAGATTTTACATTATTAGAAGATTGTGCCGGGTTACTTAGTATAGAGCTTGTGGTTTTTGAGATCTTTACAGTTTTTCCAGCTCTACCAGTTGGATATTTACCAAACTCTTTGTAGTTTTGTAGTAAAGTGTTTCCAATTTGACTTCATTGTGTGCAGTTTTCTTAAATGAGACATAGTTGAAGGCCATCTGTGTTGCATATGTATGCAAACGACTCCAACCAACTCATTAATGCCGGTTTTCTTCTTCTTCTTTTTACCAGATGCCCTGCTACGACGGGCCGAAAAATAATTTTAAAATTTTAGTTATTCATCTAAAACGGCAAGCAATTTTATTTACCATTATTACTTACATTATTATAACACGATCCTCAGATATGTAATCCAATTCTGTTACTGGTTTTATTATATTGTACGTGTACATGCCTTTGAGAAGATAATTCACTTCTAAATCGTATTCTTATTAAAACAGCAAGCGAACAGACACGCAAAAACCGCAAGCGGTTAAATTAACACACATGCATTGTAACGTCCACCGCGTAATCCGAGGATGACTGACTGATAACACGTCTAGAATCTAGACGGTGGCTGTTTGGGTAAAACGGAAATGGAATGCAATTGGCTGAAAGATAAATATGATTACAGAGTCTCATTTCTAAGAATAAAACAATAGTTCATATTTATCTCATTACGGTCATATTAAGCGTAGCGATTTGTAATTAACGATTATGAAAATAGAAGCTATAAAGAAATTAGGTACTTAAAAATATTTTTTCTTATTTCTTAAGGGTTTTGATTATAAATTATTAATTTTTTCGTAAGGAACTGGAGAGCCGCAACTTTATATCAAAAGAGTCTCATGTTTCCGATCCCAGGTAATGATTTCAAAACTTTTGTTTTCAATGTGAGAGTAATCCAAATAAAATCTTGTAAAAAGTGAATGAATAGTACACATCAGCTTTTTAGCCACCCAAAGGGAATTTATTTCAGTTGAATCAATTTTGGCGATCCAGATCACTTTTCAATTCTTAATCGCTTGCTTCAAATTTAACTACATTAAAGCTTAAATATATTCAATTTAATAATATATCGTTTCCTTTAATTTTAATATCAGAAAAGCTTACTATTGTCCATTTCTCGATATTTCATCGTTTTCCTTAATTCTTATATTTAATTTGGTAATTTAATAGAAATTACAAAAAACAAAACAAAACAAAAGCGCACCTTTGGTAGCTAAATCTGTCCTTTGTATGGAACTTTTTACTATATAAAAGTTTATTTATAAATTAATCAGTGTGTACAAAATTTGGAATATTTCCTATTCAGTATACTATGAAGATATTTCTCTAGCACTGTCGATCTTTTATAAATCCAGGGATACGATTTTTAAAAACATGAAATAGTAGAAGCGGATTTTTTGAAATTAAAGGGTGTGAAAAAAGGAGTAAAAAAAGTTTATCGAACGTAAAGAATGACTATTTTTTAATCAGTAAAAAAATTAATTTGGGATACATTTCAAATACTTAAACAACACGGAAAGATAATTTAGTCTCACGAGGGAAAGAAATCCATTGAATTTTTTTTTATGAGGGCGAGGATTAAACATAAGCTCGACTTCTTACACCCCCTCCCTACTGGGGACGTGTAAAAGGATGACACAGATCAAATTACTCTCGTTTTCTTTAGTTTTGAAAGGGGGAAAATAGGGGAAGAATCGTGTGCCGATTGCGGGTGGGGAGACAAGTCACACTTGCATCACCCTGAAGAGCGACTTGTCTATTTCAGCTTACGTTTTTTTCTTCGATCGCTTTGGATATTATTAAATTATCATGAAGCTGTTGCGGAAGAGGTAACAACAAAAGATCATATTGCTGTTTTGTTTGATCTTTTTATTATTAAAATTCTACGTGTGGACCTCGAGGATTCAACACGTCTGGATTCTATGGAACGAGAGAAGCCTAACATGGCCGCCGTTGCGGCGGAGCATCCGATGGAAATAGCCAACTCTCCTGAGAGCAATATTCCAGCGCCAAGTGATTCACAAATTTGTGAGACAATCCAGTTATTGATCCATCAAATCAACGTATTGCAGCCGAGACTTAGATACATCAATGAACTCATTGAGGTTGAAAAGCAAAATCCGATGAAAAAAGACTCAAGAACGGCCACGGACCTTCTTACTGAAAAAGGAACTATAGATAAGGATCTCAACAGACTAACAGGTGAGCTGAATACTTTTTCACTTTGCCCAGTTAAAAACTGTAAACTGCATAAAGATTTAAACCTTAATAATAATAACAATAGCATTAAAAATTTGAGGAAAAGAATGGCTGACTCATGTAATATCAGCCAAACAACTAAGCCTAACGAGGCCCAGCCAAGTACGAGCAGAGCTCCTAAAGCTCAGCGCACCATCGATAACGAAGGTTTTTCAAAACCTATTAAAACCATTAAAAATAATAAAAGAATAAATGTTCAATCAGATAAATTAAATGTAAGCAATAGCTTTGACACTTTATCGGATTGCGATCCAGACGAAGCTGACGCCGACCTCCCACCACCACCACCCAAAATTCAACCAATAATGCTGAAGCTTACTCCTAACTACAATTTAATAATCCAGGCCATCAATAGAAATTTTCCAAAGTCAACCTGCAAACTCTCAGGACAATATATTAAGATCAACCCCGAATCAGAAGACGACCATAGAGGAATCACCACCCAGCTAACCAACATGAACGCGGATTACTACGTAATCCAGCCCTTATCTGAGAGGCCTTTGAAGGTCTGTATCAAAGGCCTTCCATCTCACGCTGAAATAGAAGATATCAAGGAAGATCTGGAAAACCAAGGCATTAAAGTCCAGAAAGTCGCTCAGCTACGCCAGCTCAAAACTAAACTCCCCCTCCCCATCTTCATGGCAGAGGTGAGAAGAACCGAGGACGCCCTCGACATCTATAAGATCAGTGCAGTAATGCACATAATGGTGAAAATAGTGCCATTCAAGAAAAAACAAACAACAACGCAGTGTTACAACTGCAACTATTTTCACCATTCGTCGATGAACTGCCGGATGAACACTCGTTGCCTGAAATGCGGAGCAAACCATCGTACCGGAGAGTGCGAAATAAAAGAAAGACTTGAGAATCCAACCTGCATTAACTGC